TGAGCAGACAGCGGCGCACACGAGGTGCAGAGCTCAAGGCCAGCGCAGTGCTCGCTGCGTTTCACTGTGACTGTGATGCAACGAGTCGGAGCTGGCCGAGCAGAAGCCAGGCTGGACAGATTGTCGTGTAAAATGAAATTACAGGGTGTCAACATGCGCAAAGTGTTTGTGCAGAGGAAATACCCTGTGGCAGCTCACCACCCCTCCGTTAGAGTCGGACCTCAATACCTGGTTGACTGGAGAGAAAAGAAAATGATTGAATCACCTTTTTGAACCCCCCCCCCCCTGCTCCCTCTTTGACTTCATGAGCACAGTCTCCAGTGTGCCACCAGCGGCTGACCCTCGAGACAGTAATTACCGACTAATTTAGGGAGATGAGCTGTGCTTAAGCACGGCTTAACATTTAATCGGCCAGCTCATCGGCCACTGGTGAGATCCAGATCTCATTGGCCAAAGCAACGGACGGTATGACAGAGTCTTTCTAATTCTTACTTCTTTTCCACTGGTCAAAAAACCCACTGACAGCCACTGATATCTGGCTTTTGTCTGCAATGGGAATGGATACAATCAACATTCACAAATAACTGACACCTGTGAACGCCCTCATATCTTTATTTTGTTAAATGCTGGTGCTGCACCTTTTTCCCCGTCCAGCGTTACGACATGCATTGGCGCGTAAATAGCCAGGGACGTTTGTGTACTTATTAGCCATTTCCCATTTCAAGGGTCGCCTCCTTCGTTGGGCTAAACCGAAATGTGACCGTCTGGTCTACAAAGAATTTCCGTGAGATGGAAGGACACACTTGTCTGAGACTTTCACATGGGACAGCCATGTCATGCCACTGTGACGCAACACGTCTTCAAAAGCAGCCATTGTTTTTTAAATCTTGGGAACAACACACGGTGATTTTTTTTCTTCTTATCGTGCAAGATGCAACACTGGCAAGACAGCGCGGTTTCTGATTCATCGTTATGTTGAACATGAATCACCAGGGGAAAAAAAACAAGAGGGCGAACTCCCCCACTGGAAATGGGAAAGCAGGCAATTGTCTTTTTTTAATTCTCTAATACTGGTGTTAAAGAGGTTTGACACGCAGGACAGTTCACTGCAAAACACAGACTTCTCCTCACACTTTGATTTGCTGACATGTGGAAATATTAGCTGCAGCTCTGTCTGACGCTCTGCCCTCAAATACATTTGTTTTGTGGTTTTTAAAGTGTCAAATATTACGTCACGATAATCCACAGACAGAAAACAGATTTATACAGCGAAGGGAAAAGTGTTCACACTGAGGTCTGTGGATTAGCATGAATAACCATATCATTACATCTGGAAACAGATGTTGCTCCTCAGTGTTTCACATGTCATGTCTTTTTAAAGCTGTGAACATGGAAAAGTGAACTCAAAAGACCCTGGTAACAACACAACAACAAAACCTCGAGGCTGCAACTAAAGATTATTTACACTATCCCACAATCTGATATTTATTTTATCCAACATTCATTTGTGTGTTATGCTCTGAAAATACGAAGGAACAGCTCTATAATTTCCCAGAGCTCGAGCGGATGACTTCAAACGTTCAACCAACTTCCCGAAAGCCCCAAAACATTCAGCTGTAATTAGAAACGACAGAAAAAAGAAGCAGCATTTTTCATTTCAGTCACTTTTTAAGCAAAAATGTCAAACATCTGCTGTTTTTAGCTTCTCTGCTGCAGATCTTTGCTGTAAACAAATACAAATAATTTCAGCTTGAAAATCCATTCTTGACCTTGGAAGTAACATTTAAACACATTTCTTCATCAGTGAAGGAAAAAGCTCGAGATTGGTCTAAACAAACATTATTTTGGTGTTTTGGATGAATTATCCCTTTAAAATAAACACGAAAATGTGTTTGTTTTTAATCAGATAAGTCTCAACAATGAATTTTTGATTCAAAGATAAATAAGAGATACATGTTTATATTCAAAATATATATAAAAAATCCTGAGGGGTTCGATGGAGGCGAGCTTCGAAAGGGACGGCTAGTTTTGATCATTAAAATAAGTCCAAAACCAAAATACTAAACTTCCAATAACATAAAAAAGTAATATATAAAATTGAATAAAAGTGAAAAAAGGTCAAAAAAAGTTCAATCAGAAATCAAACTAAATTAGACTCTGACTCTTGGTTGTGTATTTATTCTTATAATGATAATAACTTCAATTTTTATAGCACAAGGGACACAAGGACGCTTTACATGCTTTATCTGAATGTTCATGTGTTTGCAGATAGTTTGTCTCCTTTGGTGCCACGAAGTCCAGACTCCAGGTCGTTGTGTTGAATTCCCGTGGCGGTGCCTGAACTGCGGGACAGTTTCCCTGGCAGACGGCTGGTTGTGGTGCCGCACCTCTGCCCGCTTTCACCGAGGTTAAGCTTTTACACACTCCGCTGACTCTTAATAGATGAGCAAATAGCTGCCCTCAAGCCCGATACTGTATTCGCTGCCCAAAAGGGTCTTACTGGACTCAGCTGAATAAATAACTGGGATCCTAATATCGCCGTGCACGGCAGCTGGCTCGTGTTTGTGTAATTACCACCAGCTCGAGAGGGAGGGCGGTGTGATACTGGAGCGTCCCTGTGCTGCTTTAAGTGAGTTTCCCAGGCCTGTGGCACAGTATGTGGGCATCTGTGCTGTACCGTACGGCAGCATGGATATCCAACGTATTTATTGTGCTTTCACTGTACGCATGCTCACTTATCCTGAAAGCCGAGGAATCCCTCGCTGTGCAAATTATTGCAAACTTCAAACCGAAACTTTGATTCCACCTCCAGCTGACATCTCATGCAGGGAACCTCACCCCCTGCAGCAAGTGACGGAGCTCAAAGGAGGCGATAAGAGCAGCTAAACAGGTATCAAATGCAAAGAGGGGTCCCCGAGTGTCTCTCGCCTCGGTGCTCTTTCTGCTACTGCAGGGGGGGCCGAGTTGAGGACACATACATCACTGCAGTGGCAGCAGCAGAGGAGTGTGAAGACGAGGCAGGAAAGACAGCGGGTGGTGTGTGTGTGTGTGTGTGAAGGGAGGGGTTCAGTCAACACACAGACACCACTGACTTGAAACTGTGTATGAGCTGCACATACCAGAGGAGGGTTATTACAGGCAGGAATCCTCACAGTGTTCAACGTGAGTGTGTGTTTAAAGCTATTTTCGCACAAGCAGGTTTAGGCAGCCATTGGCCGTGACCTTACACTCCCCCCTAGTCTCTCTCTCTCTCTTACAAAACTCTCCCTGTACATGCCTGGGTCATGTGTGTGTGTAGGTTGATTGTGTGGCCTTTTTTTGTGTGCATGCAGAGAATCTGCGAATGAGCTGCAGCACATACCACAACAAAATGCCTGCCAGCGTGCAAGTTTACACAGTGGCCGGCCGCAGCCCTTTGTCATTGTCAGCGATGGTGATTTACACGAGAAACCCAAGACTTGAATAACAATAGGAGCGGAGCTCTGCACACCGGGACCTGTAATTTCAAAGACAACTCATGGCAGTGATGGCGTGACGATGCTGGTGATGATGGCGGATCCAGGCCTGCACGGTCGTCTGGTTCCCTTGGAAGGCCGAGTTCCTCCCCCTGCCGCTCATAAAAGCAGGATTTTCTGTACATCTGACCTTTGCACACTTAGCGACTGCAGTTTGGATTATTTGCCCTTCTCTTCTGAAATGCACAAGACGTTTGCATAGAAAAACGCTGAAGAGTCAGTTTCCCAGGCTTTGCGTCTACGCTCCAACATCTGTCTATTCACTCCCCCCGTCTCGCGGAAACTTGTCAAATACTTGGGAAGGAGTGTGCTCGTACGCGCAGAAACACACACAAGCCACAGTTGTGCTATAAGGCAACAGGAGAGGGAGAAGGGGAGGGCCACAATGTTGACACCAATTCCAAATTCTGCAGGGTTACACTCGATTCCCCTCTAATGCACCTACTGGCACCGTGCAACTTTTTTTTCTTGGGGCGCTTAGGAATCATCCAAATATGTCCTTACACTTTTCTCCCTGTAGCCTCCGAAATGAAAAAGTGGAATGTATTAGAAACACGTCAGGAGCGGTGCGAGCTGAGATGGCCTCCTTTTCTCCCTCTCCTCAGGTGTTTTATCTCCTGCCCCTCCACCCCCCACCACCACCACTCATCTGCTGCTTTATGTAACAGCAGCAGGTCATGTGTGAGAAGCACCTTGAATCTTCTGTTTGTCAAGATTGCGTCATGTGTCCCCTGTGGCCTGTCTGGTCTCCCTCCCACACACACTCACAGGAGAAAGGCCGAACAGGTGATTTTTTTTTTTTTTTAAAGTTGCTGTGCTCACCACTATTGCTCCAACAGCTGTGTTTACACTGCGGCGGATAGACTCCATTTGAGAAAACACTACAAATCCTCTTGAAGCTGCTTATTCATTATGACCAATCAATCAGGGAAGAAATATTAATGCATAAAAACTCATTTGGTTTTTCTCTGGTGACAATTATTCTTGTCCTCTTCAGGGATCGATGCCAAAAGTAATATTGCAGTGTCAGCATGGAAAAGTAAACAGGAGGGCAGGCAGGGGTGTGTTTGAGCAGTTGAGTTGGGAGGGGGGGGGGGGTGACGAGGGCCCCCCCAAAAAACCAGAGAAGGACCCAACAAGTCTGAGAGCAAACTGGGAGCAAATATCGAGCCTGGGTGCTGCGTGTTTAGATGCATGTTTAGGCACTTCTGTCAGAGAGGCACAATATGAAGCCATGCAGCAGAAAATCCTTTTTGTTTTTATTATTGTGCAACCACCCACACACACACACACACACACACACACTTAAGTTGGGTAATTGTAATGGTTTTCAAATGATAACCCCCAAAACACTGGAGTGAAACATGTCTGCACGCTCTGCACACTTTGCCACGTTTCTCCTCTCATGCACCATTTAACAATGTGTGTGTGTGTGTGTGTGTGTGTGTGTGTGTGTGTGTGAGTGCATGTGCGACTTTTGCTTACTTTTGCACTGCAGCTCCACCATGGCCTGGTACCACTCGTCCTGGTCCGCCTCGTTCTCCGCGGCCACGGCGAAGCTCTCGGCCCGCGTGTACAGCACGATCATGTGCTTGTTCTTGGCGTCGGCCCGCTTGTTGATGTTGAAGCACGTCTCCAGCGCCACCGCCCGCTTCGGGACGGGGGCCTTGCCGCGGAATTTCTTCTCGCTCTCGTAGTACTCCAGACGGGCCGGGCCGCGCTCCGAGGCGGCGCGGAGCACGAAGTACCGCCGGTGCATGGACTTCTGCTTGCGGAGGTAGCCGCTCTTCCGCACGTCCTCGCAGCAGCTGTGCGGCGGCTGCGGTTGTTGCTGCTGCGGCTGCTGCTGCTGCTGCTGCTCGCCCGCTTGCCCCTCCATGACCGCCGCAGTCTCCTTCACTTCCAACAACAACTAACTTTTTCTGTCTTGAATTTCTCTCGGGGTGTCTGTGGAAGTTCAGCGGGCTGACTCAAACATCCCCCCGGCTCCGCTCCCCTCCCTCGCTCCCACACATCAACGCAGGCATGTGAGAGGAGGCAGGGGTCGGTGTGTTGCCGCCGCGAGTCCCGGAGCTCGAACCCGGTGCACAGTTTTAGAATGCGGCCGCAGAATGAGTGGGTTCCCCTCTTGTGTCCTCTTGTTTGCTTTTCTCTCGAGTGGACGGAGCAGCGCAAGTTTCCCAAGCCGCACACGGGCGAGCACATGCGGCGTCGCTGGGTGCGGAGCTCCCCCTACTCTCCACTACTACTACTGCCGTCCGCGCGCTTTAATCCCATTCACCGCTCATTGCGGAGCACGGAGCGGGTCCCGCTGCACGCTGCCGGTTCTCAGAGTGTCCGTCCCCACACACTCACACCCCCGGCTCGGCTGTGGTGCTGTGGCCGCGGTGTGAGAGCTGCGGAGCGGCGGAGCAGCGGAGCCGAGACCGTGGGGCAGGACTGTCACTCAGCGAGGGGCGTTCACTGACTCCGCCCGAGCTCGGACACCACAGCCCCCGACCTGCGGGACAACTTTTTTTTTCTTAGTGCTTCACAGCGGTGAGGGTGAAATGTGTCAACACTGGACCCGAACTGTCGCGATAATTTAAATATAAAAGAAAGAAAAAAGAAAATGTGATAATAAAACTAATTAAAAGTTACTTAATATTTACAAGAAACTGAGCTGAAACTAAAAACTTTGGCTCTAACTCCAGATATATTGTATCCAATGAAAGTCACTGGTAATATCTATCTATCTATCCATCTATCTATCAATCTATCTATCTATCTATCTATCTATTTATCTATCTATCTATCTATCTATCTATCTATCT